ATTTTACAACATTTCGCAACGAAACTTTGGAATATTACTAATTTTGTGATGCTCTTTCAAGCTGTGATGAAATTTTTGTCTAGATCAAAATTTAGTCTATAATGCAAATGGTCCATTACACACTACTTTATAGCCTAGACTATTTTTAACTGTGTTTATCCTAACCCATCCTGTAATCTTTTCCTGTGGGAGGGAACCGGAGCACCTGGAAAAAACCCACGACTTTCGGCAGAGTGTTGACTGACTCTTTTCACACGAGTCCATAGCGAGAATCGAACCCACGAACTCAGACGTGAAAGGCACTTGCTCTGACGGCTACCCAACCGAAGCCCCATTTATTTTGAGAATGAGCAGTTTAAACAAAAAATTCCTTGCATTTGTGTTTACTATAGACAGTTTTCGTGCCGCAAATCGGAACATTTAGAGGACTTCATTATGAGGAATATCCATCAGTTCGAGGGCACGTTTGGAGTGTTATTATTTCTATATTCTATATTGTTAAGCAAGGTAATTTCATATTCATATTGCAACTAAACAGAAAACATTTAAAAGTTCAAAATAGGGAGCTCTTGGCATGCTCTGCAACACAATGTGGTGAGATTGATTTATACTCGTTCATATAAAAAAGAATTCGAGAGTTACAAATACTTGATCAAAGTTAGTGTCGTGTTGCATTTATAACATGAAAAAATAAATTCCCAATACCGACTTTATTCTATTGTTGGTAAAAAATGTCAGTCCTCCCCATAAGTCGATCGTAATGATGAGTTATAGTCGTAATGACGAGTTGTAAGTTGTAATGAGTTATATACGTTGTAATGACGATCATGACGAGTAATTGTAAGTTGTAATAACGCGAGGTGTAACTTGACGTGATGAGTTACAATATAAGTTGTTAGTTTTACCAAATTATCGAACCATAAGATCTTGGGCCGCGTGTGAGACTTCATATAAGCGTCCCTAGACCTCGGGTCGCTTCTGAGACCTCGGGAAAATAGTTTTTCAGTACGAACCTGCCAGCCGGCAAATAATATATTACGTATGACGTACAGTACTATTTATGCACTGATACTTGGGTCAGAATTTTACTCCTAACCGATGCCCAACAAACTTTCAGACCGCCTCTGGTGTCCCTTTGATATACGGTCACGGACGCGCCAATTTGTCAAAATTGTCCGTGCTGGGATAAGTTTAGTGGATTTGGATAAATTAATTATCAAATCAATATTGTTTACTTCGTATAGGGTATAGAAAATGTTAAATCAGAAATGGACGAAACTCTCGCGAGTCCTCTTATCGACCCAGTTCATGGACACGGTGGGTATGTTGATATGAGATTATTTTTATATTACGCCTAAATATTGTCGTAGGAACTTCTATTAGGCCAAAAAAAATGTGGGTTTCCTATTTCTTCTTGTAAAAACTTAGGTAGGGTAGGTCGGTTTTAACTTTTGTTTTAAACTATTTTTTAAATTTTCCTAACAACTGGACGCCATTTTGTTTAGTCAGTGCATCCACATTCAAAGATATATTTTCCTAATATTGCCTCAAATTTCCATTTTTCACAAACGTTTTCCTCTAAGTGGAAACACTTAAAAACATGATCCAATAAAAAAGTTTAGGGTCGGGATTTCGGCGTCCAAAAGCTACACAGCCAGAAACGCGCAAGTCGGAACAGATCTGCAACAGATTTGTTAAATCCTGTTGTCAACAAGCCGATATCTGGATGCGTTCGCTCGCCTTGTACCTGTCTGTTCTGACAGGTCCGCAACGGCCTGTCAACAGGTCTGTTAGAAGCTGTTGTGACAGAGCTGCAGTAATGCTGTTTTCAACAGGTCTGTTAGAAGCTGTTGTGACAGAGCTGCAGCAATGCTGTTTTCAACAGGCCTGTCGCAAGTTGTTGGCACAGAGCTGCAGCAATGCTGTTTTCAACAACTTGCGACAGACCTGTTGCAAACCGAGGAAAGCACCTTATGCCAAGCTTGTGTATCCACTATTTTGAACAAAAAACGGCCAAACAGGTTGCCATTTTTCGGTTGTAGTGTTTCGTGAAATGGCCAGACTTTCATATGAACACTTTAATATAAACAAACTTGCGAGATAATTTTTGAGCAAAACAGCCGAAAAAATACGACAAATTCAAGAAAGGTTCTTATCGTAAACAATTTTCAAAATTAATTGGTCTTTAAGTACGACCGAAATATGACAACCTACTTGCATATTTTTCTTCAAAATAGTACATGCAATAACAGAAAGCTTCAATAAGGCGTCTTCCTCGCTCGCTGATTTCACTTGAAGTTGGAAAGAAATCGTTGTATATAACGAATTTCATATTCATTTGAACAATGAAGAACGTTGCAGTGAACACTCGGTTGCTCATGTATTTTTTTCATTTCTTAAGCTCTAGATCTTGTATTCTCATTGCCACAGTTTCTTCAAAAATCAAAACAGCTTTCAACTTGTTTGATTTTGTTTGAGGCAGTTGTTGAAATTTTGTTTGGCTCAAAATTCAAAAACAATTAAACATGATTACGTGATTGATATGTTTGTAATATTTCGTCCAATTGCAACGAGGAATGATGACGTGTGCACACGTATGGTGGCCCATTGGGCTCATAGCAAAACGATAGCATATTTCTACTATTTTTTACTAAAAATATATATTAAAAATAAAATAAAAAAGATTTTAAAAAAAATTCAGAAAAATTTTAAAAATATTTGAAAAATAACGAAAAATAAAGACACAAAATTAATAATAGTAAAACTAAACAAAAAAATAGTAAACTAAAAATTTTAAAAATAAAGTAAAATAAAAAATATAAAAATTGAAAAATAAAAGAATAATTGGTAAGAAATTACAAGTTATGAAAACATTTAAAATACAAATTCAAATTCGTTTTCATATGCTATGAGACCACTGGGCCTGATCATTAAATACGAAATTCAAAATGAAATCCAAAACAAAATGTTGCATGAAGCCCATTCGGCTCATAGCCCGCGATATAGTTGGTCAACGGTTTAACTTTCGCGCCATTTCCGCAGAGTTCTTTGCCAGTTCGCTGCTCTGAAACTCTGATATTGAGCGTTGGTAATACTTTCCCTGATGTTTTAATTAATAAAACATGAGTAATAAAAGGAAAGCGACATGGGATCGTTTAAAGCAGCAAATGGCGAACAAGAGGACGGCACCTGATGCGAATCGGAAGGCTAAAGGTTCAAGCGCTCCCCATAAAATAATAGTCCAAAGGTTAGCATCGGAGCCAGACAATAAGCAAACCTTCCGACCAGTACAACCGCGAGAATTTGTAGATTTCCCGTATGAAGATCTATCCCTGGCAAATCTTAAGAAAGCTTGTGCGGCACACTTTGCTTTACCAGCAATGACATGCGACGTACTAGTTTCAAATAAAGGACCATCAGCCACGAATATTAAGCAGATTCCCCACAGAAAGGACAAGGTTAGTTTACAAAAGTTAGTGAAAAGTATATGTATAATTTTTATATCTGAAAATACCTGTATTTTAACAGACATAGACCTATCGTTGTGCATGGTTCGATTTTTCCTGTTAACGCCCCCCCCCCACCCCGTCCACCCACTCTCAATCCTTGGAGGATTTCATTTGCAGATTTTTTATTTCTATACTATCAATTCCCCACCCCCAGGCAAATAATAGTGACAACTTAACATATTCACAAGCCATTATTATTGCACAATTTCATGAATGCTGATCTTTGAAAGGTATTCAGTATTCACTAAGCATCAATGTTAAAGTGTTA